AGAGGAACCAGAAGGGTTTGCCCTTCACCCCTTCTCTTGTCAGTCTGTCCATTAAGGACTGCTGGTGCCAGAGGTGGATCAGGTGGTGTGGAGGAGGCGTGATAAGTGACTGGGGCATCTTTGTGTACATTAGCTTTTTCCTGGGGAACATCTATATGTTTAGATCATGCCCAAATTGGGTAAATAAAAGTTGATGTTACCTTATAATTTAATTCACATTTCTCACATAGTGTCAATCTATCTGCTTCTTTTCATTTCATTTTAATTTTTGTTCAGTAAATAAGCTGCAGTGTCTATTATTGGGGCATTTAATGACTGTTAAATCTATTCTTTATTTACTTTCAATCCATAATTATTTCAAATAATTTCTTAAAAATTTCTAACCACTGCATAATTTTATCTTGTTCTCTTATAAAAATTGATCAATTTAATTAACATTCTAATCAATATACCGTAAGGATCTTGGGTAAAAATCCTTTTACTGTATTTCATTGTAGGTAAGTTACTTAGCCACCCTCCCACCCCTTGTAACATTACCTGTGTGATAAAATGGAAATGTTGGATTAAGCTCATTCTGTCTTATAAAACTCACCATTATTCCCGATTCAGAAATATGATTTATGCAAAGAGAGAATATGTTGCAGTTTTTGTGTAAATGGGATTATTTCTAGAAGTCTGGGATGTTCTGTAGTAGTCTTTGTTAGCTGGCTTTGGATTTGCTGTAGGAGAGAGAAGCCCCAGCTCCTCAGGAGCCAACTCTTGAGTTTGGTGGATGACTGAGTCAAGTAGAGAAGGGCAGGATAAGATTGCTTACAGACCTTTCGAAAGCTGGGCTGTATAGAGTTATAGTGATGGGGTTGCTTTGTCACTGGGTCTGGCTTTGTGTCCTCTCCTCTCTGTTGCCAGTATTGGAGATGGATTCACTTTTTAAGGCACCAAAGTCATACCAAAAGTTGATACTCTTTGATTTATTTTACGGAGACACATATATTGGGTTGTCAGAAAGTCGTGACACATTTTTGCAATGAAAAACATAGAAAAAATACATCATGACTTTTCCGACAACCCAATATATTCAGCACCAACCATGTGCTTGTACAGGGGAGACAGTATGAGACCCAGACCTTACTGTTAAGGAGCTACATACTTACCCATGAATAACTAGAGCTTTGCATAAGTCAGGATGTAATAAGTGGCAAAAACTATTTTGTTGTTAGAAAGTATGCAATAGGAATTCAGGAGTAGAAATTGAACAGAAGAAGTTGCTAAGGGTTAAATTATTGCCCAAGTGTTCATGGGAATTCAGAAATAATACATTATGTGTACATGACACCACAGGATGTAAAACTGTCATTATATTTAGTCCTTATTGTAATTTTATGAAGCAGCAGTGTATTCTCCTTATAAGTATGAAATCATCTCTGCAAAAGATGAGAAAATTGAGGTCCAGAGGGATCAGGTTTTTGGACTGAGGATGCAGAGCTGGGAAGGGCAGAGCTGAGGTTTCATTCATTTTTTTCTTCATTCATTCACTATCAACTCTATAGACATTTATTGAGGGTTTATATGTGCTAGCCAGTTGCTAAGTTCTGTCTTGTCCTCCAGTCTCATTGTTTAGTAGACCTAAATTCAGATCTTTTAAGTCTATTTAGTTTTTTCCCCCCATAGTTTCCCTTAGTCTTGAGGTGGACTGAGAAGGATGGGTAGAAGTTAGATGAGCACATAGTTGAGTGATAGGCATTAGGTGAGAAGACACAGAAGCAGAGTTGTGGAGGTGAAAAGTAATATTGAGTGCATGTGTTTTGAGGACAAGATTTAGAAAAAGGTGGTAAAGAATTTAGGTAATCATTGATGGTGGGGGTGCTGTAAATTTTGAGTTGTAAGGGTCAGAGGAATAAGCTGTTTATATAAGATGACACAAGATTTTAAAAGTCAGCATGGGTCCCTATGGCTGCATTGCACTCACATTCTGTTGTGATATAAGATTGGCCAGGAGCTATACACAGCAGCAGATGAGCACTGGATAAGGATTAGAAAAACCTAGATTATAGTTTCAAATCCATTACTTACTAGCTGTGTGATGTTTGTGATGCTAAATAAGTAACCTTATTGAACCCCAACTTTTATATCTCTATGTAAATTCTCTGTATAAGGGCTAAGCACAGTAGATACTTGATTCAATGTTTATCTAATGAATGAATAAATGAAATAGAGAAAATAACATTTGCCCCACCTATTTTTGTTGTTTATCATAAGGATCAATACTTATGAAAGTACTCTATAGCAGTACTGTCCAAATTTTAGAAAATTGTTACTAATAGCAATAACTTATGTATTTTCTGGTTATTATTTTCTTACAGCTGCTGGACAAGGCCACATAGTGTGTTTGCAGTGGCTAATTAAAATGGGAGCAGACTGCAATATTGCTAACAAAGCAGGCGAGAAACCCAGTGATGTGGCTAAGAGGTATCTCTATCTGTTTTGCTCCTTTCTTTTGTTTTTAAGGTTTTGCATATACTCTCTTATACTCAGAAATCTCGAAAGATTTAATGGATTTATAGGACTCAGTCAAATGCTGATGGAATGACAGTTTGCAAGCTGAATAGACATTTGACAATATCAACTCTTCTCTCTAAAGCAGTGATTTTCAACAGGGAGTTAGTATTGTACTGGGGGGAAGAGCATTTGGAAATAAGTGGGGTTTGTCACAATGACTAGGTACTGTCACTAATATTTAGTGAAGTCAAGTCCAGGAATACTTAAATGCTAAAAATACTCAGGATACTGTTGCACAACTTAGAATTATCTCATCCAAATGCTGGGACCTGTTGAGAAATATTATGTGATAAAAAGGAGTAATCAGAAGGAGTCACATGGGTTTTGAAACAAATTTGGTACTTACATTTGAATTAAATATAACACCTATTATTGAACACCTCCAGCTCATTCAGGTTAGATTCTCAAGGAACATTTAGTCCGTCCATTTGTTCACTTTTTATTTTTTTATTTTTATTCAACTTCCTGTATACTTATCATGTTCCAAGTGTGACGGTTAGTACTAGGGTTACAAAGATAAAAACACAGTCTTTCCCCTCAAAGGAGCTTATAGTCTTGTGGAGAGACAAATGTGTAAACAATATTATTCATTATAATCATTATATTATAATACATGTTTGTATAAGGTACAGTAAGAACAGGAGAAAAAGTGCCCAAGTCTTCCTATTTGAAAGCTGTGGGGGAGAAATATTAACACAGATGATGATAAGAGTAATGAAGGAAACTGCTGGGGGACAGAATTTATGTAGAGGTCAGAGAAAATTCTTTTTTTGGAAGAAGCAATATTCTGACACTTGAAAGAGGAACAGTTATAACACTTGTATTTTTGAGGAACTGAATGTGGTTTAGAACTGCTTGTATCGAAAGTAGGAGTGTGGGCTAAAAGTTGCAAATGAGGCTTGAAAAGGTGCAAGAACCCAATCATTCATTAAACTGCCATGCAATTTTTGTTTGTGATTGCATTTTTCTTAAAATTTGGTCTGAGGGATTTCTTTGAAGCCTTGGAGTGTGATTTTGTTGTACCACGTACCTAGGATCATGATCTACTCAGGCCCATTTTATTTTTATTTTTTAAAAAAACTTTATCAAGGTATAATTAACATACAATAAAGTGCACATACTTGTACATTGCAACCTAATGAATTCTCATATATGTATACACCCATGAAACCAGCACCACAATCAAGGTAGTGAACATATTCATTACCCCCCAAAATCTCTGTGTGCTTTTTTGTCATCTCTTTCCCTCCCATTGCTCCCCCACTGCCCCTTCTACAAGCAAACACTGATCAGCTTTCCGTCACTACAGATAAGTTTGCATATCTAGAGTTTTGTATGAATGAAATCATACAGTACGTTACCCCTATACATCTGCCTTCTTTTACTCAGCATAATTATGTTGAGATTCATTCATATGTGCTAGTAGTTCATTTCTTTCCTATTGCTGAGTAGCATTCCATAGTATTCCATAGTTTGATTATCCAGGAACCTGTTGAAGGACATCTTGACTGTAACCATTTTTTGGTGATTATGAATAAAGCTGCTATAGACATTTATGTATAGGTTTTTGTGTGGAAATAAGTTTTCAGTTCACTTGGGTACATACTTAGGAGTAGGATGGCCGAGTTGTATGTTAAGGGTGTGCTTAACTTTATAAGAAACTGCCAAGGTGCCTTCTAGAGTGACCATACCAATTTACATTCTCTCCAGCAATGGAGGAGAGCTTCTGTTGCTCCTTAGCTTGCCAGCATTTGATATTATCAGGTTTTTTTATTTTAGTAATTTTATTATTATTATTATTTTTATTGGGGAGTTGGGGGATGGGAACAGCGCTGGGGAATCGGGGGAAGGGGAACAGACAAGTTGTCATTTTGTTCTTCAGTCTAGTTGTGGAGGACGTTGCTTCACTGGCCCAAGTTGGCACNGGAAGCACTTTCTCTGGGTTTTGGTGTGTCACCAGTGCTTAATTTTCCAAGGGATATAATCAATTATAAATAAATAATCAGTTCTTTTCATTTTTGCGATGTTCATCTTGTACCACCCTTAGCCCCTGGGAACCTTGAGTATAGAGGGGCCAGGCTGTGCAGCCATGTTGTGTTGGGGAGAGGAATAGAGGGCACATACTTTTCATAAACTACCACTTGTACTCCAAATGTTCCCTCTCCGCCTAGTGGCAGGAACTCAGTTGCCAGTCTCTTCCCAGGCAGAAACTTAATGTTCTTCTCTAGCTGCCTAGACCTTTTGGGGATCACCAAAGCTGCCCGCCTTTTGAGTCCTTCCAAACTGTCCATTTAGAAAATTTTAGTTTTTTAGCTATTTAAAAACATTCTTTTCTTGCCCAGAAGCGTCTGTTCTCAGCGTGGGGTTTGATTTCATGCTGTACAACACATCTTCCCTAAAACCTCGCTCTCTAACAACAAGTGTGTAGGCTTTCAGGGGAGCCGCTTCAAAGCCCCTATACTCTGGGTCCGTCGTTTTGTGAAGTCCTGCTTTAGGTTATCCAATTTTTGTAAATGAGCAAATGTCACTGACTTCTAATGGCAGCTGCAACCCAGTACTGCTTATTTTCTCTTCTGCAAAACCTCCTGAGTCTCAATTTCCTCATCTTTAAAAGGGGGATAACATCTACCTCATGGCATTGTATTGATGTTAAAGGAAATACTGTGTAGAAATCCCAAGGTATTTTCTGTCTAATAGTATTCATAGTATTACATTCCTCCTCATATCCTTTTCTCCTTTTTCCTTCCTTTCCATTTTCTGTATTTGAGCTGAATAGGCATAGTCAGTAGATATATAAATGTGTAGAGCCTTCAGCATTTGAGAGTAGGGGGGATTGATTTATTTTGGAGTCTAAATATATAAAGTATAAATAAAATGAACTTTTCATCCAGTATTTATTTATGTAGATTCTTCAGGAATCTCTTTAACTAAATCTTTCTCCTGCCACCTTCTGGTCAGGACCTATGATTGCTTACAACTGTACCTTTAAGACTTTTTTCCCCTGTAAAAGAATCTGGAATAGTATAATCTTTATCCAGAAAAAAAAATTCTAGGATAGTTTTACCTATATTATGCACTTAAATAGTTTTTCAATAACAACACAACAATAATGATTACTGGTTTTGATAATAATAATAGCTTTTTATAATGCTTTCTCACATATTATCTCATCTTAGCCTGCATTAAACCTCACCAGCCCTATTTTTTTCTGTTCTCCTACATGTAGCCTATCTTTTCTGAACTTGCCCCACCACCAAGCCTTTGTTCATTTTGTCCATATACCCTGAAGGGTCTCTATCAACTCTGCCCCTCAAAATCCAATGGGAACCATCTCATTTGTTAACCCTGGCCTAATCCCCCGACCACATATGATCTCTCCTTCTTTCACCAAGCTCTTTGTACTGTTCTGATGGCACCTCATCATTTGTATTATAGTTTAACTAGGTACTTATTAATACATTACCCACAGTACCGAAATTCAAGTTCCATGAAATCATCTAACTAATAACTAATAACATCATCATCAACAAGCTGCTGAGTACTTGTTATGTGTTGGGCTCAGTGCCAAGGACTTTATATCTGGCAGATCTCATAAAGTAGTGTCGTGCAGCAAGTTATTGCTGCAGTGCATCGGGTCATGCTTGCTAATCAAGAATGGCCAACCTGATAAAATCTCACTCAAGAGTTTGAGCTCTGAGCAACAGCGGTNCTGTAGAGGGCAGTGTCACTGGCCCTCATATGTGGGATCCAAACCGGGGCCCTCTGGCATCCCAAGCCAGCTCTTAACCAATGTGCCACTTGGCTGTCCCTATTTTAGTAATTTTAATAGGTGCGTTGTGGCATCTCATTGTGGTTTTATTGTAATTTGCATTTTCCTAATTAAAAATGATTTTGATTTTGAGGATCTTTTCATATACATATTTGCCATTTGTATATTTTCCTTTGGTGAAGTGACTATTTAGATCTTTTGTGCACTTTAAAAATTGGGTCTTTTTCTTATTGTTGAGTTTTAAGAGCTCTTTATATATTCTGGATACTAGTTCTTTCTCACATTTTTGTTTTGCAAAGATTTTCTCTCAATATGGCTTGTTGTTTTTTTTTGTTTTTAATTTTTTTTCACAATGTCTTTGAAGAGCAGAGGTTTTTATCAGTTTGTTCTTTTATGGATTATGCCTGGTATAACTTCTAAGATAGTAACATAGAGTCACAAAGATTTTCGCCTGTTTTCATTTAGATGCTGTATACTTTTAGGTTTTACATTGGTCCATTTTGAATTAATTTTTGTATATACTGTGAGATATACATCCAACTTTTTTTTTAATATGAATATCCAATTGTTGTAGCTCCATTTGTTGAAAAGGCTCGTTTCTCCACTGTATTACCTTTGTGTCTTTCTCCAAGTCAGTTATCCATATATGTGTGGACTTATTTCTAGACTTTGTATTTTGTCTATTGATCTATTTGTCTACCTTTATAGCAGTATCACATGGGTGATTTAGTACTGTGGGTGTATCTGGAGTTATTAATAATTTCTGGACCATATTTCCTTGTCATTCATGCACCAAAATGTGAGGTGTGAATATAGTGTTATAGAAATAACCTTGAATCTGGCATAAAGCCAGTACTCAGTAAATGATAGCTGTTAAATTACAACCTAGTAATAGAGATAAGGAATTCTATTAACCTTACAAGTTCCTACATATGTTTATTACTATTATATATCTTTAATGATTTGCCGTACCTGATGACAGGTAAGAATATACATGTGCATATGCATGTCATTATGTAAGTATGTGAAAAAAACAATGTGAGGTTTTTGTGTTTATTGAGTAATTCTCCATGTCCTAAGAGAGAGCATAAACATTTCAACTAGTAAGACTATGGAAAAAATATGCAGATTACATGCATTCACAACAACTCTGAAACCAAGGGTGTATTACTGGAAGCTTCATAGAGATGGGGGGAAAGGTAAAAGAAAACAGATAATGTGGATGGAAAAGTCATTTTTCCATTAATTTCAAAACCATGTCTAGTGTTTTGAACTGAGGAAGAATGAAGATTAAGGGGGCTAAAGCTATAGTTAGCTGTAAAACTGGAACCGGAATTAATCCTACAATCTAAATTAGTCCATCAGACAAGGTAGTAAGTGCAGGGAATCATGTAGGGTGGCTCTGGGCTTTCTGTCCAGTTGAGCAGCTGTGTTTGGGGGCACACACTTTTGATATTGGGTATCCTCCTCCAGTTGGGTTTTTGCCAGTAAAAATTATGGAATGAGTCTTTAATATGACTGCTTGTCCTTAGTGAGTAGTAACTGTTTGAGTTTCCCATGTAGCTTGCTATAGTGCATCAAATTGTCACTGATCTTCAGATACAGTTTTGCTACCTTACTGGTGAGTAGGTTGGTGGCATAATGTATAGAGTGTAATTCCCTAAATTAAGTGCAAACTGCAGTTTCAATATGATGATTGTGGATCTTTTTAATTGTTGATTCTTTTCTACAGGTTTGCTCATTTAGCAGCAGTAAAGCTATTGGAGGGGCTACAGAAATATGATATAGATGATGAGAATGAAATCGATGAAAATGATATGAAGTTTTTTATAAGACATGGTGTTGAGGGAAGCACTGATGCCAGGGATGATTTATATCTTAATGAGTCAGATAAAACAGATGCCAGAAGTAAGTGTGTCAACTCTGTTGTGATTTATTCTTTAAGAAACACCATAGCCCATTTTTACCACAAATCTGGGAATTATCCTAAAGACAATTATCATCTACTAAGTAAAATACTTTGGTTTTTGAGGGGAACCAGAACTAGTACAATTTTTGTACTAGGGGTTGTTGAACATATAAAATATGTAAGACATGATCTCTGTCCTTCAAGGAGGAAAATGTTATATAAGAGGAGCATTATTTAAGTGGATCATAGGAAACAGGGAAAGAGACGTCTCAAGGATTTCCATGGTTAGTTGACAAATGATTTTTACAAATAATAAGAGCAGCAAATATTTACTGAGTGTCTGCTATGTGCTAGATACTGTTGTAGGTTTTGGAGAAACAGTGCACAATACAAAATCCCACCTGCCACCAGGAACTTGCATTCTGGTTGTGGTGGGGTCAGGGAGGGTGACAGATAATTAATAAGAAAACAGATACTAAAGAAAATACAGTAGGGTGCTCCTATTGATAAGATAACCATTAGAGGAGGCATCTCTGAGGGGTGACACATGTGAAGAGACCTAAATGATGAGAGTGAGCCACATGAAGATCTCAGAAGAATATTCCAAGCAGAGGGGGCAGTGTGTGTAAAGGCCACGAGGTGGAACTGAGCTCCATCAGTGTGGCTGGTTTAGAATCACCAAGGAAGTGGTGACACTTAAGGTTGGGGACGTAACCAGGGGCTCAGGCAAATCAGATAGGGTCTAATAAGGATTTTGTGTTTAGACTATATTTTAAATAGAAAGCCATTGGTGGGTTTTGAGGTGGGGATATTGTGACCTGATTTATGTTTAAAAATAATACCACTCTAGTTGCCGGGTGGAGAATAGACTGGGAGGTGGGGGAGAGCGTAGCATTTCAGATGCGTTATGAATAGGTGGGAAGAGAACGTACTCACCTGCCAGTAAGAGGTTAGAGGAAGTTCCTGACATGATTTGAATTTGCCAAGAATGCTAAATTAGATTTATGCAAGAGCAGATGCAGAATATCTGCACAGATTTCCTGGTCTAGAGGCCCTGATGTAGGCCTACAGCTGCCCGTGATGATGGAACTCTCCATCCTTGTTTTGCTTCAGCCTTTTTATACTGAAAGCTTTCTTCACCATCCCAGGAGAGCTTGCATAAACATCAGTTTATTTCCCTTTAAGGTAATATTTATATATACCAGGATTTTTTGTTTCTTGGTTGAAATTCAGCATTAGTAAGAGCATATTTTATCTGGAGGGTGGTGTGGGTGAAAGCCGAGTCAGGACCCAGTTGGCCTTGGCTGTTTGTGCCTCCTCATTTCCAGTGTTGTGGAAAACCCATTTCTCTTCACAGGGCAAAAGGAGAAGCAGGGAGATCAGTTAGGGGCTGTGACCTTAGCTCAGGAAAAAGTTGATAATGGCTTAGACAAGGGTGAAAATGATGGAGATGGTGAGACATGGTCAGATTTGGGTGTATTTGGAAGATAGAGCTGATAGAAATTGCTGCTCGATATGGACATGAGTTGTTAGAGAATGAAGTAATCATGGTTGATTCTTGGATTCTTGGCCTGGGCTATTAGGTGAGGTAGTGAGTTTACAAAGGCTGTTCACTCAGGATAGAGTAGCAGAGGAGGCTTTTCAAAGGTGGAATTTGGATTTTTCCTTAAAAGATGGCCAGGATTTAGATAAGCAAAAGCAGATATGGAGGGCATTCCATTCATCCAACATACATTTGAATATATACTGTGTGCACAGCCCTGGACTAAGGGACTATAGCAGTGCCTCAGAAGTAGTCCTGCTTTCTGGAATTCAGAAAACATTCTGAACCTGCTCAGTATATTATTTTAAAAGAAGTAACTGAAATTGTGCATTATTGATTTTTCTTACTCTTCTATCATTCCACATACGCTTATTGAGTACCTATTACATGTTAGGCACTGTTCTAAGTGCTAGAGTTACGTTGGTGAACAGACTCATCATTTCTCCATATTTGCTTGTTTTCCTAAACTGCTTGATTTTTTTATTTTTTAAAGCTATAAAAGTCTTGATCATCTGCTCTTTGATTCCCACAGTAGCAATATTAATAACCTAACCATATTTGTTAGTGGGATATCCTAAAATAGTTTTGGTTTTTGATAACTAAATAAAAATTTAACCAAATAAAAAATACTTTGTTTTTTTTCTTTCATACAAATTGCCTTATGGAAACATATGCCAAAGATTTAATTTTCATAATTACCAGTTGAAGGTCTTATTTCATTAAATGGTGTCTTAATATGCTTGGACTGCCATTACATAATACCACTGGAAGTCCCAGATTAATGTCTGGTGGGGGTCTGTTTCTGGTGAGGACTCTCTTTCTGGCTTGCAGATGGCCATCTTCTCTCTGTGTCCTCATGTAGTGGAGAGCGAGCGAGAAAGCTCTCTGGTGTATCTTCTAAGGGCACTAAGAATCCCTGTGGCCCAGGGCCCCACTCTCATGGCCTTATCTAACCCTAATTACCTCCCACAGATCCTGTCTCCAAATATCATTACATTGCGGGTTAGGGCTTCAACTATATGAACTTTGAGGAGACACAAACACTCAGTCCATACCAAATGGTTAAATATTAAAGTACTCCAAATTAGTGAGAAAAGTGGGAATGTTTCTGTCTCTTAAGGGGACATGTGATTAGGTTGACGTAAATATCCAGGAGTCAGTAGGACAGTGGCTTATCTCAGTGTTATATTTATTATTGAACGTACTGGAACTAAACTGAAGCCTAGTAATTGGTGCAAATTTCACTTTCTGTAGCATTTTTACTGATGGTACAGTCAGTGGCATATAACTCTCCTGCCAGAATTTTTATTCTCCAAAATCCTAATAATAACAGTTTACACTTCTGTAATGTTTTATAAAGTTTACAGAACACTTCCACATATATCATTCGCAGTAAGCCCAAGAAGTAAATAATATCTCTGTTTTTATTCTCAAAAAATGCTCATTTAGTATACTATCCTCATTTGATAGGTAAAGAACCTGACGTTCAAAAACACTAAGTAACTTGTTCTAGGTCACACAGTGACTAGAAGCAAGGCTTTCGGATTTCTCTATATGGAGCCCTTGTCAACACACACATTGCTTCCTGAAAGAATCTTTTCTTGCCACATAACCCTAATTTTGCTTCTCATGATGCTTGGCCAGAGAGCCATGATTCATACGAATGCATGAGAAGAACTGTTTCA